TATAGGTATGAGGTACCGGCGCCTGGCTTCAGGAAGAGTTTTTGACCTGACTGGCCTCACTTGGTTCTCCTTTTTTTTTTGTCAGTTGTGGGGCCTAAACTCTGGGCCTGGGCGCTGTCCCTCAGCTCTTCAGCTCAAGGCTAGCACTCTACCACTTGAGCTACAGCGCCACTTCCGGCTTTTTCTGCTTATGTGGTGCTGAGGCATCAAACCGAGGGCCTAATGCATGCAAGGCAACCACTCTACCACTGAGCCACCTTCCCAGCCCAGGGTCCTTCCTTCTTTGATCAGATTTATACTTTTCTATTCCACTCATAAACTAACACATTTATTTACTTCTGTCTCCCCTCCCCCCAGCCCTACCTTCAAATCATTCAGACAGCTAGAACTGTCTTGGACAGTTTTATAAACAGCCTCACTTTTTGTACCTAGAAGCAAAGTCCAAGAAAAATTGGAAGAATACTCAACCTGCCTCTGTCAGATAGTAACTTGGCTAATTATAAGCTTTACCCCCATGGGTAGTTTTCTTCAGAAGCCTTCAGAGGCTTTGGTGGAACAGATCCAAGTCAGAGACTCTCGCTGGCTCCCAAATATTTTTAAAAAGTTATTGTCACAGCAATAGCTCCAAATCCCAAATTCCACTGGCCATTGAAACTAGATTTCTTAGTACCAGAGCTACCAACTCCTCAGAGCCTGGACACAAATCATATCTCTATCATGAATGATTCTAATCATAAAAATTCAACCACAAAGCTGTGAGTGACAAAAACAGCAAAAGAGAAGAATGGCAGCAAAGCTCAGCTTTGCATTTCTAACAAGAAGCAAGACAGGAATGAAGCAAAGAAACCTTGGGGTCAGAGGTGAGAAAGAAAACAAACTGTCTGATGTTATGCATATGTCTGCCTGCATATGCTCACTCATACCACACAAAAGCCCCTGGCCCATGAACAGAAGCAACACACACATACACATACACACACACACACACACACACACACACACACACACACAAACTCAGGCTGTAGAGCAGCTACCAAACCTTCAATAATCTGCCAGTAGCAACAGCAAAAGAACCTTTAACAAAGAGCTACTCTGACCTTACTTTGGTAGGCCTGTTATAAATAAGAAACCCTCTCTTGCCCCTGATGTTACTCAAACCAGCTGCAACCATTTAAAAAAAAGTTTGGAAAATCAGTCCAAAAATCATTCTGAATGTACTGAAAAGATCCATAACCCTTATAGAAGGGGCAAAATGAATCCCAGTTGACCAAAGCTCACTTTGAATAGGAGGGCCAAGGGGGCCCTTTTATCTCCCCTGACCACACCCCACCATGGGAGTTCCATTTCCAGGACACTCATATACATGAACCACTGCACACCATATCAGGTGTGATTCTCAGTCTACACACACACACACACACACACACACACACACACACACACATCTGTTAGTTCCTCAAGGCCCTCCCTATAGTAATCCCAAAACAATTAGCACTGCTCCCATCCCTAGAGTGTAGAGCATTCTCAGCACACTCAGTAGTCATGCCACAGTGTCCTAGAATCCAACTGGCCACCTCCCTAGAATAGTGACCTACACACACTTCAAACAGTGGCTCTAACACTCAAGATTGCATCACAGAAAAACTCCAAGGCTAGCATCAGACATACACACAATAGAGAGTTGTTTACATTGAATTATTTTGAGTGGAAGAAAAAGAAACTCCCTTAAAAAAAAGCATCTGTGTGCTATGCCTACAATTAGTCTGTGGTACAGCTAAGGCTGGAACCAATTTGCAAGTTCCCAATTCAGTTGGCTTTTTAATTTAACAGCTAGGTAAGAGAGAGAAATAAAACCTAAAATAACAGAGTGAATATCGTTGAGTGTTATTTTAACAATGAAGGGTCCTCCTAGATTTGGGAGAGGTAAAGAAAGAAGAAAAAAATTGTACTAAGCTCCTGTTACTGAAAGAAGGAAACACATATTTAAAACAAACACCTTTTACATTTCCCAAATTTGTCAGGGATACCCCCAAATTGGTACTATAAAATTGGTATTGAAAGTCTTGGTCTTTTTAGCAAGTATATATGCTGCTATAACCATAAAGTAATAAATTTAGTTGGCATGACTCAAAGACATTTCAGGAAACTCCCAGGAAAGAAGATTCTTCCATTGGATCCAAATCATCAGGGCTGGACTTGCTAGTGCATGCCTATAATACCAGCTACTCTAGAGGCAGAGGCAGGAGGATCAAAAGATCAAGGCCAGTCTCAAAAACAAAACACAAACAAAAAGACTGGGGCATTACTCTAGTATTCTAGTATTACTCCAGAATTCCTAAAGTCCTGGGTTCAATCCCCATGTACCACAAAAAAGTAACCATAATCAAACAACTCATTGGAAACTCACTCAAAAGCGAAGAAGAGTGTACATGTCCCCAGAATGAGGAAGAGGGTCAAGTAGAAGATGCCCTTTTGCCGGGCCATCATGACCCGACCATCACAGCAAAAGGTGTTTCTGCCAGGGAGTTTCTCCCATTTCCGTGTCACCTTCTTTCTCACCACCATCACAGACATGATTGGAGTCTTGTTCCAAAATGAGCTTTGTGACTACAGGAAGGCAGAAATGGAGGCTGAGCCCAGCTCTGATATCACGTTATCTATTGCTGCTACAGGGTCGACCATCATCAAAAGTCGAATTTCTAGACCTAAGGAAAAGAAAAAAAATATGAGGCCAGAATAAGAAATTGCAGTTGAATTCTCATTTCCTAGAAGCAGAAAGATGAACACTGTCTGAAAAGTAGGGATTGGAAATTTTCATTTCTAATCTGTTTGTACTGTACAGAGAAACAATGAAAAATTCTGCAAAAAAGGGAAGGGGGCCAGTATTTCTGAAATAAATCCTGTTTCCAAACTAATACTGATGGTTTCATAATCCTAGAACCTTGAGAAGAGAGCAGATTTGAAACTAACACAAGTAGTTTATTCTGTAAATTAGTAAAGAGAAAGGAAATAACTTATTCAGGGTCATATAACAGCAAAGCTGAGACAAGAAAACATGTCCACTGATTTCCATCCAACCCAGGATACTTTCCATTACACCACAATGTTCTTTAATCTTCATTAAGAGGGCTCTAAAAATAATGTTTCTGTCCTTCCTTCCCCTCTTCCATTCTATACCTTCTTTCTTCAATTAGCCACTCAAATATGAATCACGTCAAGGAACAAGTCACCTTTTGGCTAGGCGCTGGTGGCTCATGCTTGTAATCATAGCTACTCAGGAGGCTAAGATCTAAGGATTGCAGTTCAAGGCAGTGGGAACAGGCAAGTCCCTGAGACTCTTACCTTCAATTAACCAGTAAAAAAGCTGAACGTGGAACTGGCTCAAGTAATAGAGCACCAACCTTGAACAAAACACCTAAGGGACAAAGTAGGTGAAAAGCTGACTTTAGCAAGAAAGATACTGGAATGGTTGGCAATTGATGATGGGAGAAGAGACAGCAGGTAAGACAAGTCATAAGGGCACCTTCTGGGACATTTCTTAACTACTATTCTGAATTCCCAGGCCTACCCTTTCTCAAGCACGGCCATCCTTCTCCTGCTCTCAGGTATGGGGCTGTGGCCTCTATTTACTGACACCACATGCCCCACGCTGGCAAAACGAGGCAGAAGCCTGCAGCCTGACTGACAAGAGAGAAACAACCAACTCAAGATCATCCTGGGCTGAAGAGGGCAAAGGTCCAAAAAGGCACTGACAACTGAGAAAGGAAAATAGAAGGTGTGAGGCTGGAGAAAGGGGAGGAGACAGCAGAGGTGCAGAGAACACTTCCTTTGTGTAAAACTAACCAGGAAAACAATCCCCTCCTCAGGAACTGACCCAAGTGGGAGAAGAGAGGTCGGAAGGGGAAGCTGGCCTGAAAGAACAAAAATTAAAATCGATAGGAAGCCTCCTCCAACCCTCCAGCCGAGTACCAGAGGCCGAGTCTGGCCCAGCCCGCGGGTGCGGCCCTCCAGAGGCCCGCCCTGCCTCCGCCACGCAGCAGACCACCGCCCCAGGCAGGTTGGGACACATGCCACATCCATACGCTCACATTTCCACACCCTCTACACACTCACACCCGCCTCGCCACGTGTAGTCACCCCGAGCCCGGGGCTCTGCCGCTGGCGAGTTAAGAAGGGCGGTGCCAACGTGTCCGATTCCCCACACAGCTGAAGAGGATACAGCCCACCGCGCAGTCCAGCCCCGGAGACCCCCGCCCCCACCCCTTGTTACCTGAATGAGGAAGATCAACTCGACCGCAACTGAAGGCAGGAAGTAGATTGTCCAAGGGGACCGCAGCAACTGCCAGAGGTGGCAGTGGACTTCTCCTCCCAGGCAGGGAGGCTGCCTCCTCCTGACAAGGGGCCCCAACGGTCAGGGCCCCAAACCAGCTGTGGCAACCGCCCACCGCTGGCCGAATGGAACGCTCCTCACGTCACCAGGTCGCTCCAGTAGTTGCTCGTTCTCCATTGGCTCAACAGCCTCAGCACCCCCGCCCTTGCCGCCCCTGCTTTCAACTACCATTGGTTATTCCAAACGCCACTCGACGATGCCTCCACCCTCTCCCCCCACCCCTCTCCATGCTACATTCCCACCTGCCAAGCCTCTGCCAACCTCTCCTTGGGGCTGAGCGCCAGTATAGGAAGTGCTTCCTTCTATTAATATAGTTATGCAAAGACAGAGGCGAAGGGTGGTGCCAAAGGACATGAGGAACCAGACCAACCGCCACCCACATACACACGTGGTAAGATGCTGAAGCAACACTAGCTCCCAGATATGGATGCTCATAGTGAAATATATCTTCCCTGGGCCTCCGCAACCCTATTTGCATTAAAATCAATCATAACTCAGGATTTTAGAGCTTATAGGCATGAAGTCAAGTCCTAGTCCTCCCAAGTCCCATTCAGTAGCCAGCTTGTTCCAACCACTCTTCTCTGCATCCCCAAGGCTTTCAGAACAAAACAAACGCACATAAAAAAGGAGCTTGAAAGGGATAACCATTCCCAAGAACATAGAATCATTTTTCCGAGTCATAAACAAATACTTGACATTAAGGCAAGTATTTATTGATGCATTGAATTTATGTCACCTCTCTTCAGATGACAAAAATTCCTTTATAATGAAGTGAAAATTTCCCCCCAAAAAGCTTGTAAATTCTTATTACAGACAAGCTTATGATAGCTGGGAGTGGAGGGAACTCCAAGCCAGGATTCCTATCCACCAACCAGATTGTTTCCTTCTGCCACCATCCCTGTGTGTGATACCATCCTACTGAGACCAGAGTAGGAAAACCAATAGATATCCACAATATTATAGTACAAGGTGAACATTACAAAGCTCTAAATCTGTTTCCATTATTATAACATTTGTCTTCCAAATAATAGAAAAGACTGCAGTGGCCTCTCCTTACCTGCCACACTACTAGTAGAGAGGGCATAGGTTTTCCTGAGCTGAGAAGTTTCCCTAAGGTGAAGGTACTAAGAATTACTATAGAAGACATGCCAAAGTTCTTCCCAAGGAAGTTTGTTAATAGTTTTAATGAAGGACTACATACATAATAAAAAACTGTTTTTCCTTTATAGTGTTTGTTCGTACGATATGAAACAAAAAGCTACATAATGAGAGTCACATTAGATGTTTTATGGCACCTTTCAATCAATAAGTTAAGAGAAGTTAAAAATCATGACTTAATTGTCTTGAGAGATGTTTTATAATAAATGTGTAGAAGAAAATACGTTTTTATAAAGCTTCTATTATTCCTGAGCACTCAAGCTGATTAGAATCATTGGTTTATTCCTTCTGAAGTATATGAATAGTATTATGGTTCCAATGCAACCCCTTTGGATTCTGGAGGTTGTTGGTACTACACACAGTTGGTATGGGGAAATGTAACATCTCTCAGCCCTATCAGCTTTCTGGATTCCCAAGCCTGTCTGTATCAGATGCCATTAGGATCATATGATGAGCCCAGCTGCCATTCCTCTGAGTGTGAGCAATCACAATTAAGCCTCCACAGCACTCAAACATACTTTGTCTATAGCTCAGGTGCAGGTGAAGACTGAGAAGTCCTGCAATGGATGTATCATGGCAACACATTCCTGAGCTCTGCCTTTCCATATCTTAGTTCACATTCCCTCTGGGATTAAGTGCCAATGCAAATCAGGCTTGTTTTTTTTTTAATTTTTCAAATCTGATATTAGTTATATTCCCCACTAGAAGAAAATTAAGGCAATGTATATGGGCAAATATTCCATAGCACTTCCTTCCTTTTAATTACATAATTTAAAACCTTATGACCATAAACTGAGATTGTTTTTCTTTTCTCTTTTCAACAAACTTCTCACGATATGCACCCAAATCAGGTTTTGGCTCCTTTGAAGGGAACTTCCAGTCATTCAATGAGCATTAGAAACACCATTTCATAAGACAACTCATAGTATGGTAACATATATTCTGATGTGCATCATTAAAAATCTATCTGTAGTGTGTGTGTGTGTGTGTGTGTGTGTGTGTGTGTGTGAATTATTGGTGAAGGGACTCATTTCCTGAATATCATGACTGGGTTGGAACATGCTTGTTAGTTGCTCCAGAGAGACCATTCAGTACCACAACCAAAATTAGATACACAAATCAGTTTCTACCCTGTATTTGAGTTTATGATGGCTCTTTTTTTCTTTATTTTCTCTAGCCTCACCCCTCCTAACCTTCCCACATTCCTTCCCCATAAGCATGCCCCTTCCTACTCCACCTACCTGCCTTGCACTCCTCTCCCTAATTTCTGGCTGTAAATAAAGCATGCATTTGTAGAATGAATTGATAGGCAAACAAACAATGGAATCCCCTGCCCACACATAATTAGTCAGTATTCTTGAGCAATATCTGCTTCTCAGAGGCCTGAGATACTGTTGCTGACCTAGAAGAGGCAAAAAGATATGCAGCATAGAAAAAGCCTAAGTCATACTGCCAGATGAACAAGTTCAAATCCTGACTTTGCTACTTAATACACTGTGTTACCTTTAGCAAGCAACTTATCCAATTTATGCTTATTTTCTAATCTATAATATAAACCTATTACAGAGAGGCCTCTATATCAGACAGTTGCAGATCAAAAATACCTGGAAGGCCGGGGCTCCAGTGGCTCACGCCTGTAATCCTAGCTACTCAGGAGGCTGAGATCTGAGGATCTCGGTTCAAAGCCAGCCAGGGCAGGAAAGTCCGTGAGACTCTTATCTCCAATAAACAATTAGAAAACCAGAAGTGGCGCTGTGGCTCAAGTAGTAGAGTGCCTGCCTTGAGCTGAAGAGCTCAGGGACAGTGCCCAGGCCTACAAAAAAAATCTGGAAAATTGCACCTGTACTTACTATGTAGATTTTGTTCTTGTCATTATCCTCCAAATATGTGGTATAACAACTATTTGCATGGCATATATGTTCTATTCACTATTATAAGTAATCCAGAGATTACTTATTTTTGATGGTGTTCATAGGTCACATGTAGATAACACTCCATTTTACATGAGTGTGTCTTGAGCATCTATGGATTTTCATATCTGTTGGAGTCCTGGAACCACTTCACTGTGGATACTGAGGGACTACTACACCTACTTCAGAAGCTGTAAAGGAGATTAGAGATAACATATGTTAAATATCCAGCATGTAAGAGAAACACAGTAAATGCTAAATGTTACATAGTGTCTCTGGAACTGCCATTTCCTACCTTCCTCCTTTAGTGACACTGTTGACTCAGGACAGACAGGTAAGAACAATTAGATTCAGTGGGCACTGGTAGCTCATGCCTGTAATCCTAGCTACCCAGGAGACTGAGGTCAGAGAATCAAGGCTGGTACAAGGCCAGTTTGAGCTGACAAATCTGAGAACCTCACCTCCAATTAACCAGCAAAAAGCATGAAATGGAGCTATGGCTCAAGGGGCAGAGGAGAGAAAAAAAGATAAAAGAAAAATGTGACTTGTTCTTCATTCTTCCCTTTGCTAAAGCTAGCATCATACATGTGCCACCCTGGTTTCATGGCTTCTAAGATTATCACTAAATTCAACTCTTGTCTGACTGGCTGCTTGATTTATCACCCCAGACCCTGATTGAGAAAAGTTTTGCAGTAATCTTGTTCAAGTAGTATGCTGTTCTTTAATTTCATCTCTCAAAGTACTCTCAACATACTGCCACATTGTTTTAACAGGTGAAGTACACAGAACCGCTTTCACAAAGCACACTGTGTTCACAGTACTATGATGGGATTGTTGGCTCTCTCTGAGACAAACAGAACCTTTAAGATGCCTGCACAAAAAAAGGCAACCATAAAAAGCCAGTTAAAGCCAGGCACCAGTGGCTCATGCCTGTAATCCTAGCTACTCAGGAGGCTGCAATCTGAGGATCACGATTCAAAGCCAGCCCGCGCAGAAAAGTTCATGAGACTCTTATCTCCAATAAACCACTAGAAAACCAGAAGTGGTGCTGTGGCTCAACTGGTAGATAGAGCACTTGCCTTGAGCTGAAGAATGCAGGGACAGTGCCTAGGCCCAGAGTTCAAGCCCCATGACAGACAAAAAAGTTAACATAGAGCAAAATAGCTGAAGGAGTGATTCAAGTGTGAGAGGGCCTGCCTAGCAAGTGCAAGGCCCTGACTTCAAACCCGGTACCACTACAAAAAGGCATGAAAAAGAAGAAAAGAGGTCAGGCACTGGTGGCTCACGCCTTTATTCCTAGCTACTCAGGAGGCTGAGATCTGAGGATCACGGTTCAAAGAAAAGAGAAACATCAGATGATAGTATATTTCACAAGATAAGAATTGCAGAAAAATGTGTTGACTGAACACAGACCAAGACCAATTAGGGAGCTGACTAGTCCAGAAAACCCTACAGAGAATATAAATGGAGGACTCTGGACAAAAGGCAAGTCAACCAAAGAATGGTATGATTAAAAGCTAGGGATATTGGAAACATAATAAAGATACAGAAGGCAAGAAGCAAGCAATAGTGGGTAGTTATAAAGAAATCTTAGGCTCACCTTGAGTTGAAGAGTTGAGGGACAACGCCCAGGCCCAGAGTTCAAGCCCCACGACCGACAAAAAAAAAAAAAAAGAAATCTTAGGAAAGACAAACTCTATAGAAGAAGTCCATGTGTCAAATGCAAAGACTCGGTTTAAACTGACAAAAGAAGTAAGCTTCAAGAAGAATTGAATTTATTCTTAGCAATAAAAAATGGAAAAAAGCTAGAGTGCACCAGAGATATGGTGAAGAAAGCATATATTTATTCTACCCAGAGCAAAAAAAAAAAAAAAAGCAATCACCCAAAATGCCACTTTCCAATAATGAATGCAGTAAGAACATGGAATGATAGACAGCAACAAATAGAAGTTGTGACATTGTGACTATAAAGAGTAAAATGTAATCAGGCCATAA